TGTCATTGAATGCGTCTACGGCACTGATATCGATAAGTTTCTTCACCAAAGCTCATGGATTGCACCAGCTACTGTTGCGCTAGTGATTATCTTTTTGATTCGAATCCATCCCGAACCAGCTGATGATTGCCCTTGCTTCGACGATAGTGTTGCGTTCGCGGGAGTCATGATTGGAATTGAGATTGGTGGTTGGCACTATGCAACTGGGAATTGGGCCTGGGACATCCCCGTCCCAGCTACAGTACCGTTTGACTTGCAGCATATGGGCTGGTTCACTGTGATCTTGCGAGTGTTTGTTGGCGTTCTTGTCATCTTCGCATGGAGAGAATTGATGAAACCATCATTATTGAAGTTTCTTCCACATCTTTTCCGAACCATTGAAAAGTATGGCTTTATCCTGCCCCGAAAATTCTTCATGCCGGCCTCCGAGTACAAGAATATTCCTGCTAGATTAAAGGTGGATAATGTTATGCCATCAGTCTCAGATCTACCCAGTCTGTTGACTTCGATTCGACACCCGGGGAGAGTTCGTTCTGTCTCTGTAGGTCCGCAATCTGCAGCTGATGCATATGAAACCCTCGCATATCGAGAGAAGAGGCGGAGAGATAGTTTGACAATGACATCCAAGGAATTGGAAGCTGGTTCTCCCATCTCTCGCTCTCCATCGCCAAAGCACCATACAAACCCTTCATCCTTCTCATTAAACAGTGACGATAAAGACGGATCTGTTTCTCAGGCGTCAGGAGTCTCTGCTTCGTTGAAACTAAATGTCGCTGGGAACCTGCCGAATCCTGCTTTCTCCCAAATCGGCTCATATGAACAGCAGATGGGCCAGGGCCATGTAATATTCTCACCAACGTCACCGGCTGTTGAAAAGGATCTAGAAGATGAAACCGAAATCATGATTGGACATCAGACAGAAATGGAAGAGAAAGAGATGTTTTCCAGGTTAGAAAAGCCTCGTTCTAGATACGATGTTGAAGTTGTTACGAAACTTGTGGTTTACGCTGGTAAGCCCACCATGCGACTTTTCGTCTTATTCATTACTAAGTTTCCAGGAATCGGTGTCTTAGCCGTTGAAATAAACCCTATCATTTTTGAGATCATTGGGCTTGGTATGGGACAACATCCTCCTCCTTTGCGATGACCATCACATTCAACTTAATTGATTCGCTCTTCTTGGAGCATCGGTAATTGAGAGTAAAGCTGTTTGGGCATATCTTTGGTGCAGCATCCAGATACTTGCACATAATATAGGATTCACAGTGCTAGATTAGGTGTTGGAGAATCAGTGCATTTAGGGCAGACGCCTCACTAAACGTGTATATAAGGATTGTATATAATCAATCTTATACTATGGTGATTGAGGATCTCATAGCACTATAGCTATACGCTATTTTCCCTTCATAGATGACTTGTGGGGGTGTTTTTTTGATCGACTCTGACGCATGTAGTCAAGAATAGGACTTGGATCAAACTTTCCGAAGGATATTCAGTGCGGGTGGGAGAGAAATGGGGGAGCTCTACCTTTATCTAAAAGTAGAAACACTCGTAAAACATTACAATGTAGAAAACCGGTCCAATTCCGCTGGTAAATGCTCTAGTTTGGAGTCTTCCCCAAAGAGCACGAATATTGATTTGACCTCTGTCAACTTATGAGCTTGTTTGATGAACTTCCTCCTAAGATGGAGGAAACCCTGCTCCTGTAGCTGTTCTGCAAGCTGTAGTCGTGATTGCTAGCTTTTGATCTGCCTTCATAGACCGTAGCTGGAGATAATTGGACTCCCATCCTATTATGCCTCACCCAGCTAGAGGATTCGCATGGACTGTAACGCTCTGGATCTTGATTTCCTCCTTAGGTCTGTTCTTCTTGTCCACTGCAACGGCCTCCATTTTATTCAAGGTCGCCAAGGCATCGTCACCAAGGACATGCCCAAATATTGTATTTTTCCCATCAAGATGCGGCGCTTTGTCAAAACAGATGAAGAATTGGCTCCCATTGGTGTCAGGACCCTTGTTGGCCATACTGACGATGCCTCTTGCATTATGGCGTAGCGCAGGTCGAATTTCATCCTCGAAAGATTCCTTCCAGATAGATTCTCCTCCCTTGGGTTGTGAGGGCGGCGCGCCAGTTTGTATCATGAAGCTTGGTATGAGCCTGTGGAAGAGGGACCCATCATAATATCCAGAGGCGCACAGGGCAAGAAAGTTCTATGAAGAAGTTAGACAAATTTTATCTCAAAGTATGCGGAGCTTGCACTTCTGCTGTTTTTGGCACACTTTCGCAGAATACTTCAATCTTGATGGCACCGAGATTTGTATGTAAAGTAACGGACATTTTGCAGTCTTAACATAGTTCGTGGTAGGGCTGAGGCATTGCTGGATGTGGACAGGAGGGATAAACTAGTAAGCATTTCTATAGGCGGGGGTACGACAGGCTGCCGAAGCTCTAAGCGATTGTTGGATGTACCTTGAGAGTCCTAAACAATGTCATATTGATGCAAGCTTTGATTGCGGAATGCCATTATAATTGCGACCGAAATTAATGTTCACTATTATCGTCGCTCCTTTTTATCGAGTCTTTGCACATTAGAACATCACAACTCGATCCTTGATACCCTAGAATAGTGCTGAGCCTCGTCATATCAAGCTCACCTCCTCGCAACGCTCTCCCTCGGAGGTCCCGCGCGCATTCCTGCAACACCAAAATATACCTATGATAGTCCTCTCACGATCACAGCACGTTGACTGCCCACGCCGACATCATTTTGGCGCAAACCGCGCGGTGGCGCAGAGTGAGCCCGAGACAAAATGGCAGCATTCGTCAGAGTCTCGGGGCCGCCAAATAGCAATTTCTTAGTAGGATATCCAGGCATATCTGCGACCTTGGTAGGTCCAACATGAACGTTGTATACATGCTATCTGCTAACATTGGCCGTTTTCCAGCCTCGCATAGAGGGCAAGGTAGAGATTCGACCCCTCACTGGAATCTCGGCGCCAGTTGCGATATCGTTGGTACGGATATGTTTACAAAGACGAGAGACGATACATCCATCAGCAGAGTCGATTGCAAAGAAACACTTAGGCACGCCCAGAAGAGAAACTACAGATGTTGTTGGGAAGGAACTACTGCTCTTTAGGTGTCCAGCGGGAAGGGAATCGGAAAGCGTCGTGTTAATGGACTTGCCGTTTGTTCTGTTTATACCATTTGGAAGGGGAGGAGAAGAAAGTAATAGGCGGATACCACCGGCATCATTACAGCTACCTAGTAGGACGGCGGAAACATTTTATGAGCTCGTGGTTACGGTACAGCAAGGGCAAGAACAGAAGAAATTCGCATTCCCAGTACCTATACAACGCTACGATACGCTATCTACCTTTGGGATGTACAATCGCCCTGAAGCTGCGGAGAAAACGACAGACCACTTGGTGACATTGGGAATATCATTACCAAGGTGGTCTTACGGGCCCTTAGATCCTGTCAGCGTCTACATAAAGCTCTCACCAAATCCTGACTGGATGAACAAAGCGAAGAAAGTCATGATACAGAAAATCACGATTGGGATAGAAGAGGAAATCACATATAATCCTGAGGGAGACGAGCCAACGAAGAAGGTTAATCGAATAGCAAAGCATACTCAAGCCATTGGCGTAAGGATGCCAGAAGCCGGGTATTTCACAAATCTAGGACTCGTCTTTCCTTCGAAGGAATTACGAGATCCAGAAGGTATCATACGGAGAGGGAAAGCCGCATTCCCTATGTATTCTGTTGCATCTTTCACCACAACAGGAACTCTCTACAAGATAGAATTCTTCTTGATTATCAAGGTATGATGTAATCAAAGGTTCAAAAACTACGGCTAACCGCCATAGGCACACATGTCGGGATCTAGAGATATTATATTGAGGCAACCGATAGTGGTCTGTCCACTCGACCAACAGGATTGCAAAGAGGAAATGGATGCGATCGAGCAAGCAGCAAAAGATGCCTCTCACGTAGATCCAAATAACCCCATGTTACCAGCATGCACCATAATACGTGCAAACGATAAAGACGCCTTAAAAGCATTAGGCTGGACGATGGTGGGAGGCCAAAGGAAGATGGTGATCGAATGATGAGCAACCCATTTATACTTCAAAGATGAGAAACTTCTACGGATTGATATGATTGACGAGAACATGTCTGGTTATGTCAGGGAAAGGCATCTTGGACATCAAAGTACAGTCAAGCAAGGCGAGGCGATCAAAGGACTTTGGCGTTCAAGGTAGGCGGCCCCGGAGCCCAATTTATTTTTGAGGGTAGGGATACCTCAGCGGGATGCATTTGAGCGGCGTTGATTCTACTTCATGTTGTATATGATGAGATGGTCTTGGACACATATCATAGGATCCTTTCATATGAGGTAGTGAACCATTGATAATTAATCTAAGATAACAAGTCGGTGTGGCCATATTCCCTTGCGTTAGGCGTGGGAAAGTGAGTATCACACTGATGCCAAGCTACGTCCCATTACGATGCAAAAACGGGACGCTGGCTGGAGGCTCCCAAGGAATGGCAAGCCCATTGTACATGATTGCGGTCTTCTTCTGCGTGTGCAAATGCTCCTCATTGGTGTGCTCACAGAATAGACAGTGTCCATTCGAGAGATTAGGATTTTGACCTTGTTCATTCAATCCAACCGCACGCACATTTAGATCATTTCCAATGCATTCCTGACGATCACTGAGCCAAAAATATCCTAGGCATGTGTAGGAGCCAAGGCCACATAAACATCTAGGCTTCTTAAAGTAAAATAAACAGGCTAGTTTGCACTGGTAAATGGCGAAAGAGACTGGTGTGTGTAGCAAAACAATACTTGCATATACATAACCAATGTGCAGATATATCTATGAGGAAAGCACTTTTGCAGAATCAGATCACGCTAAATGTCAAAACTACAAAAACCGCAAATGAAACACGGAATATTCTTCCTTCCCGAAAAACAAAACTGCAAAATATATGAGCACTGCAGGATTCGAACCTGCGCGGTTTCCCACTGCGGGATTTAAGTTTCTTTTCAGAGTACCTAAACACAGCGCCTTAACCACTCGGCCAAATGCCCTCTTGAACGTTTGTGAATTGTCAAAGCTTAAAAAACTACTCAATAGAGCATACTACAAGCCGAAGATTACAGCTTGGCTACCTCAGTGCTACTGGTTCGCGTGCTGAAGTACCCTTGTTAGTGTTAGTCTGGTGCTGGAGCCTCGGAGCCAGCCTCTTGGGTTACCCAATCGCAAATCTTTAAAACATTAACCTAAAGCAAGGCATGTGAGAGAGCGACGCATAGACTATGAGATCTCAACATGGCTGACTTGGAAGAAAACGTAATCTTGAATGCCCAAGCGAGCGTCGACGAGGAAGATGGCGAGGATCTATCCCAAGATTATCGTCAGCTGCTTGGGAAGAGTGGTTTCAAAATCCCAAAGCGTGGAGATAAAGACTTCGAGCCTCATGGAACCAAGCACCAAGATTCGATCCTTGAAGCCCAAAGACAAGCTATGCACGATGTCTTGAACTACACTAGGTCGTACCAGCCAAAAAATTACTGCCGAGGCTTTTATTATGGATCTGATAGTATCGCGAGAGATGAGGCCATAGATTCGGAATGGAGACAAGGCCTGAATGATGACCACATTGTCGTGGTTGAATCGACGAAACATAGTTTTGGAAAGACTATGGGTACTTGGACTACTGGAAAACCTGTCTCCAGTTTGTGGTTATTACCAGAGGAAGCACTGTATCTAGTTGAGAGGGGTAATCTTGATTTATGGTGGCCAACTCGCTGGTCTTACAACGGCATTCCAAAGCATTTCAAAGGATACGAAGATGGGGATGACTCTGAGAGCGAGAGCGAAGCCGAATCAGCTGGTGGACGAGAGAAGGATGAAGGAACACCCATGAGTTTACAGGCCGCGTACGCTATGCTGATCGGAGAGCATGGCCAGACAGGCAAAGTCACACTAGAGAAGTATAATGTATATTCTAATCTCAGAAAAACTGGCTTTGTGGTTAACAGGACGTGGGAGTGGAATCATCGGATCGCTGCGATGGGTCGCATTCAAGTCGAGCACAGCAGAGAGTCACAAAGCCTTTTCAGCTGGATATTTGGCAGCACCTTTGCAAAGGAAAAAGCTCAAAATTCTGCCTGGGGTCCGCTCGTCAAGCCTGGAATGTATCGGTCGTACAATTCCATCTATCGACAGATTGCGATCATTCCGCGACACAAACCTGCGCAAAACCTAGAGAATCCGACCCCAGGACATCCTTTTCAAATCGTTTACCATTTATGGAAAGCATCGACTCCATATTCTAGACGCACTGCAGGGCCACCGGATTTTAGAATCGCAATTGCGGATGCTCAATTTGACTCTATTCCAACACTAGAACAGATGACTTCGCTACTAGAAACCACTCCTTGGGACCCGCCGCCACCTCATCTCCAAGGACCATCGAAATTGAACCAAAGACTAAAGCATGGCTGGCGTAATATGCTATTGGCAGTGGTCGATCGGGGTGTCATCAGCTACTTACGTTTCAGTGAAGGAGCGTTTGGGGAAGAGAGATTGAATGAGAAATTCGATGATGGACGTCCAGATAGAGGCACGAAGGGGGGCCGAGGAGGGTCAGTTGCTGGTCGCGGAAGGGGCCGTGGGAGAGGGCGAGGGCGAGGAAGCTAAGTCTAAGAAAAAAAAAATGTTCCCAGGGTGTTGATAATATGTATAAATAATTCGCTGGCCAATTGTCCTCTGCATGCAGATATAAGTACTTTATGCAATTAGGAACCAAAAACATATATCCTACTAAGTTAGGAACAACTCGACCGATAAAGCATTTTCGAGTACACTAAGAGCAATAGACTACAGGCCAGAGAGGTTTATTAACGTGCGTCACCGGCTAAAGACCAGGGTTCGGAAGAGGAGGGCTACATGCATACTAACAAACAAGCAGGGTTGGCTTAAGGATTGACAATTCTACAATTGTGCTCATTAATCGCGAGGTGCTTACTTTACCTGGTTTTAAACAATCAGTATTTCAATTCGGCTGAATATTTTGATTTTGATCTTGCACAAATCAGGCTATCTTCTCCATAACACGTAATGTAATTTGCTTAGCGTGCCGGATTGTCTTGTAACGGAAGCCACTTGTAAAGCCAAACGCCTCGCCCTTCCCTCTACTCTCTACTTCACATTCACCTTTGTTCTACTTCAAGATATCACCACGGTCGGCTACTTTCGACTTTAGACGTTCCAATTACGGATAAGGTCGCTCGTTACGCATAAGCGATTGATATGGAAGCTTCGTTATCACCATCTGATAGCTTTGACTCCCGTACAAGTGGAAGCTCGGAGTTTGTTGGAGTGGAAGATAACTCTCGCGTCTTTACGCCAGACAGGTCCGTAATCCCTCATTTCCCCTCCTTTGGCTCGTAATCCTGGTCTATCATTGCGAACAGCTGTTTCGCCGCCTACATTATACTTATTCCACCTTCAAAGGCATCAATGCTCTTCACATTCAGACTCCTTCGTTTTGCTGTTGCTGCTTCTGGCTTGTCGCGAACCCCAAATTGCATGGCTTTTTAAAGGTCTTCGCAACTCTCCATAGCGATGCACACTGCACTTCGCAGCACAATTGTACTGTAATGACGCATTGACTATCATTCTGCATTCGTCAAGGGTTACGCATTCATTTTTACACTTTATTTTCCGCAACACAAATCTAGTCAGATTGTTATATCGTTGGAAGACAGAGAGCATTGCTGCGTTCTACCGTGATCAACGGGGAGCAAGCTATAATCGTCTTGCCGGAACTCTATTAACATGTCTTTTGATTACAGCACGCTTTGCATTCTTGCTCCCGGCACAAGAGCGATAACTAACAACGCGTTAGAACTTCATCTAGAAATACACCGCTTTATGATACGCACGGTAATTCTCTTGGCACGTTTTGTAGCGATGTAAGTAAGCTTGGCCAAGCAACCATTCACTTCCACTTTTTGGCTTCCAGGGTGTGGTTCTTGAATTCGCGACCTAACACCCCTTTTGCAGACCGATAAAGGCATAGTCGTGGACGCGCCTGAGATGGATTCTTCTGCTATTTTGGTCGAGAGTGACCATGTCAATGAGCAAGAAGATGAAGAAGATATTATAGCTCCAATTGGGAAGCGTAAACGCACTTCTTCAGGCTACGCTTTGGATGACTCATACAGCAAGCTGAAAGCCGAGCCGTCCATAAAGCGCTCTAAAAACCAAGATCTCAAAGGTGTCATCGTTGGAGTGTGGTCTGAGTCTAATCAGGTGAACCCTGAAGACAAGCCTGTCGTTCATGGCTTCATTGACGTCCATGACAGACTACGGACCAGAATCTATGCAGAAAATAGAAAGGGAGAGCCCATCACGAGCAACATGCCATCTGGTGTGGGGGCCTGTTGGGTAACATTTGAAAGAATCCTTTTCGATGCGCATCTAATCACACTCAATTCTGCTGAGGTGAAAGAATACGTCAAAATTAGATCACAGGATGGGTCTGATGAGACAGATGAGGAGAGAGATGAAGCCAACCTGCGAGCTGTGGAGAAGGCAAAGGCAATAGTCGCTGCATATGAAACAGAGCCTAGAATGAAGCCTATCGTCCATCGACCAGTGATGCAGCCTACATCGAGCAGTAAACGCGATTCTCTTCCACGCCAGTCACTGAGCAACAACTCAGGCTTTAAAGCCATTAACACACCCTCAAAGGCTTCTCCATCGGATGATGCCACGCAAACAGGCGTATTGATTGGTTATTGGGCTGATTCGGACTCGCTCCATGATGAGGATAAGCATGCAGTTTATGGGGTCGTTAGTGGGATTGGCAGCTTCCGTGTCAAGGTCGTCAAGAGTACGAGAGATGGGCGTTATATAGAGGGAAACATTCCTACCGGTGCTGGTAACATGTGGCTACATTTTGATAAAGTTGTCCGTAAGTTATTTCTCTGTTACATCGTTATCAACAACATCTGCAGTGTTATCATCATGCTGCAGTACATCTAAAGGACAAAAGCCCAAATGACTCGAGGTCCAGCTATCTTCTTCGTTAGCTCAAGGACTGATATTCTGAATAGTTGAGCCACAGCTGGCTAAGTTGAATCGGGCGGAGATTAAAGAGTATGTCAGTGTTCTTCAATTTGGCTCCGAAAAGAAGGGAAGAAAGATCAGTGAAGCGGAAGCCATCATAGAAGCTCAAAGGAATATTGCTGCGTCATTAAAATCTACATCTACTTCGATCATCTCTCCAGCTGAGGGTCGCAGTAATGGAGTTGTATCTGGTTTGGGAGATTCGCCTCGTCACAGCGCCAGATCTGAGCACAGAATGTCGGCCAAGCAACATCAACAGCAAGAAGAGCTTACAACAACGATGGAAAGGAGTCGACGAGAAAGAACTGAGGCTAGAGACCGAAAGGCCGATAAAAGTAGAAGAGAAGCTGCAACTGCCGCCGAAGAGGCTGCCCAAGCTGAGCTCAAGAATAATCTCAAGAAACTCAATAAGGTCTGGTTCGCCCAGCAGCAACAAACCGGCACTGTTTCGACTGCTATTAGTACTCCTCCAACACATGGAATAGCTCCCAGCGAGGAAGTCAAATATCATAACGGTATCAAGTATGAGAGAAAACAAGCTGGCCCATTTCAAGGCAAGCTGGTGAGTGCCGCTCAGATCTTGTCTATTGATGGAGAAGATTATGTCGAGTATAGAATCTTGACTAAACCATCTTTCTGAACTGAATAATGGTTGTGTATGATCAGGGTGTTGGCATATATCTTCTTAATTGTACGATAAGAGTACCTTGCGCATTGCGGGATTTTATGGCATTTTTGGGGCTGCGTTTCGTTGAGGAGTAATAGGAAGTACTAAATTTCCAAAGATAGCATACACATTGTGTAAAGCGTAAAGTGATGGTTTTCTTTACAAGCTTTAATCAATATACTTAATGACATTCGCACCTCTTAAATCCGTAAAGATAATCATGTGAAGATAATTGCACGCCACTTTTGCTAAGCCTAAAATCTTGTGGCGCACCTGCAAGGC